GCTCGGGAGCTCGTTTTCACTGGCAGAGCTCTCGGGCCACAGGCACCGCCGACATGAGTGACATCAAGCTGGCCACGCCCACCCCAGCCCCCTGAGGTGAAACACAACCCTGATGCGGCCTTCAATGAAATCGTGTTTGACACCCCTGCCCTAAACCAATATTTTACTGAAGCCTTGAACTTTGGTTATTCTGTACATTCCCTATCACCAGCGGCATCTTGATTTAAATACTAACAGATCAGCCTGTTCCTCTTCAAACATCTTAAAGCAAATACAAAATGCCCATTTTTTTTAAAACTAAAAAGTAAACAGATGAAAAACAGCCCAGTTGGAGGGCTCTAAGTTCCTCAGGCTAATCTAAAGTTTTTTTAGATAAAGAAGGTACCTTTGAGTCAATCTTGATTCCCAGCGACTGCCTAGACAAATCTCTGCCATTGTTTGGTCAATAGTTTTAGAAGTGAAGTGTCTTCTTCCTAGTCTGGGAGAAAGGGACTAACCCACTCAGCTGACTTCATGTCTAAAGCAGGACCAGAACCCACAGCCTTCCTAGTTACTAGTCTGGTGCCTTAACTCACCATGTCACGGGTGTCAAACTCAATTTCACTGAGGTCTGCATCGGGGTTGTTTTTTGACTCCGGGGGGGGGGAGGGATGAGGTGGGTGTGGCCAGGGTGAGCATGGCCTCCTCAACATCACTTGTGTCGGTAGCGCCTGCAGCTCAAGTCTGGCAGCTAAAACGAATTCCTGAGCCCCATTTTCCACTGGGACCCTCCTGCAACCCTCTGCCAGCGAAAAAAAGGAGTTCGGGAGGGCTGCACTGGCGTGCCAGTCTTTCACTGTTTGCGGGGCGGCCCTGTGGCCCGGTTCTAAGCACCCCGTGGGACAGATCTGGCCCATGGGCCTTGAGTTTGACACTCCTGCGCTACGTCACACTGGCTCTCTTTTACGTAATCATGAGCATAATTCATTCCATAACTTTGGTCGCAACCCGATTTGGTTGTGACCTGAACCTAATTTTGGAAATTTGACGCTTTAAAAAAATGGCACGGAAGGGAAAATAGACTGCGGGGGGGTGGGGGTGGAAGTGAATTGTGAACCCGATTTGGTCGTGGTCAGAAGTGTTAGCGACTAGAGGTTCTACCGTAGAGGATACGATCATCCAGTCTGTTTGTTTCATGTTCCAATGAAAATTCCAATATAGGTCCCCTACTGGCAAACTCAATAGCATCGCCTCTCAGAAAAACGGAACAAGGCTGATGGAAAAATATATTTCCCAATGACTTCTATCCATGTGTTCTTGATGTTGTCTTGCAGGTATCACAAATTGATCTGGAGTCCTCACAAAACATCATCCGATGAGACTCTTTCTGGAGTTCTTATTGCTGGTGGTGAAAATGGGAATATAATTTTGTATGATCCGGCTAAAATATTAGCTGGTGAAACCGAAGTCGTGATTGCTCAGAAGGACAAACATACGGGACCTGTAAGAGCTCTGGATGTTAATCTATTCCAGGTTAGATTTTCCTTACAACTTTTCATAGTGTCTTCAAAGCATTTCAGATTGAAGTTGTTGTGGCCCACCAGCGGCCAGCAGAGCTGGCAGCAGATTCGGACAGTGAGGAGGTTGGGGAGGAACCTGGGCCAGTCCTGGAGTCTGGGGAAGGCTCGGAGAGTCTGGGG